CCTTGGAAACGCACAGAAACGCACGACAGTTACAGTATCGACCCGTTAGCTAGTAGTAGTAGTGAAGTAGTTGAGCAGTACAGTAGATGTAGTAGCAGTAGTAGTAGTAGTAGTAGTAGTAGTAGCAGCAGCAGGAGCAGGAGCAGGAGCAGGAGCAGGAGCAGGAGCAGGAGCAGGAGCAGGAGCAGGAGCAGGAGCCGGAGCAGCAGCAGCAGCAGCAGTAGCAGTAGCAGTAACCATATGACGAGGAGGAGGACGAGGAGGAAGAAACATGTTGTGCATCTGGCCATTACGGTGTATACTCTGAGCCTGCGCAAGATCTCCTCATGGCGTCTTGCAAGGACATCGAGGAAATCCACCTCCAAAGTGAGCGCAGCTCTGACGGGGATGGCGCATAACAAACCGTAAATCTAAGCCGTGATGCCGATGCGACACATTAGTGAAGTCTTGCACAACACATGAGAAGCACGAACGCCTCAAACTGCAAAGCCTAAGACACTCACGCCCGCACCGCTAGCCCCCCAAAATACGAAATATCAAACCCCATGCCAACCACGCTCTCCAATTTCACGACATGCAAGCTAAGTCAGTGCCAACGACTTCACTCTTTAAGCCTTTCTTAGCCCTTGGTGTGGTATGGTGAATTCTTGGATGGCTGCATTTCGCTTAGTTGTCCCGATCTGCGTTTCAAGCTTCAAATCTTCGAAGTTTGAACTGCATAATGAACCCTGTCTCGGCCAGGTGGTTCCTTGCTCTACCCGAAGACTCCAAGTATACAAGTCGGCCCTACTGTGGAGTCTGAAATCGAAAAATGGTACCAACCGTGGGCTCTTTGGAGTCCTCGGGTTTCGAAACTTTCTTCGTTTCGACTCTCACTCTCACACAGGGCAGGCAAGGCTCCTAAAGTTTAGGGAGTTAAGGCCTAGGCGGCAATCAAAACGTTAATTGGCTTCCTTTATGCTGCCCGGTAGAACTTCCCACGGGAGCTCGTGGTTACCTCGTACTAGCGTACTGTCGCAGTTGGGTTGGTTCAAGCAGGGAAACGGAGGACTTCCGGCGTCACACTACAGTCCAGGCGAGGCAGGTGGTCATGAGTCGGCTTAGTGAACTACACAATGTGTATCACGACTCACAACAGAGGCTTTAGGGTTTTGCGGGTTTAGGGAGCCCCTGGACCTGAAACTCTACAAAAAACCAGGAAAGGGGCTGAGGAGGCCTTCGGCCGGGAGAGTGAATGAGGTGGGCGGGGGGGGGGGGGGGGGGGGAGCAGTTCCTGTGTGTCTAAGAACAGCCTTCGCACGAAGTACTTACAGTAGCCTTTTGCACAGACAGTGGCCCAACTGTTGCAAGCGGTGCTGCTGTAGGAGCCTTGATAGGAATGAGGATCTCATGCGGCAGTAAGTAAGCAGAATAAGGACGAGCCCTGCAGTAAGACTACGGATTATTCCGACCAGTTTCATTATTGAAACTACAAACTTCCAATCTCTCTTTATCGACGGCTTGGCATGAGGGCCTCTCACGCAGAACATGCTTGGCAAAGAGTGATGAATAGGCCTCGGAAAAGACACCTCATGCTACAAATGCAAACTTATATCATACTAATACGAAATTGGACCCGGGCTCCACCTCCCCTTCACCTTAAACCATCAGGGAACAAATCGATTTCGCCACGAAGCCTTAGCGACCCCGGATGCCTTGTCG